TTGCAACTGCATCGATGTGACCTGTGTTGTCATGGTGACGGCCGCCCTCGGCCTTATCAGATGGCCACAGCACAGGGTGATTGGTCAGCCCTGGCTCTCAAGTGCTCGGGCCTGCATTCCCATGCACCGTGGGTGCCTCGAAAGACTGGTGACCCGCCTCCAGGTTTGCCCGGTTTTTTCTGTCAGCGGGTCATAGCCAAAGTCAAAGCTTCCCTTCTCCAGTCTGGGGTTCAGGAATTCGCAACGGTCTCTCAAACCCGAGAGTCCGATTCCACCTTCGATGGTCGACTGGCTTTGAACGCATTGCCGCGAGGACGGCGCAACCCACCTTTGGTGCATGAATTTGTGTCTTTCAAGTTTGTGGCTGTGCCTGCTGACCCTCCTTCAACCGATGCATCTTTGCTCGATGGACTGCCTAAAGGGTCTCGGGTCTTGTCTCGCCTGACCTTTGATAGGGGTTATGAAGAGGCTTGTAAGACCCTGAGCATTTCCTCTAGTGAAGTTACATTGGCGGATGGCAAATCAGAGTTGCTTGAGGGTGAGTTGGTAAAAATTGGCCTGCCTTCCGAGCCCGAGGCATTCGTGCAACGAGCAGTGCAAGCCGGCCACCCTAGGGACGGAAGTGCACATGTGTCAAAGCTGGTCATACAGTCAATCAAAGCAAACTTTAGCGATCCGCCAGCGCAAACCGTGACCTCTAGGGTTGCTGCTCTAAAGCATTGGACTGCCAGAGCCAAACAGTTAGAGCAAAAAGAAGAAGAGTTACACCAGAGTTTGCCAGAGCACCTGCGTTCGCTGCTGGAGGGCAAGCGGCTACTCTTGTGGCAGGAAATGCACAAAGCGGCTGGATCACCAGACGACCAGCTAATCTCCCACATGTGTGAGGGATTTAGGTTGTCGGGTTGGTTGTCGCAGGGAGGGCTTTTCCCTCCAAAGGTTAGGCCCCCTTCTTTTTCGGTTTCTACCCTTAGATGCTTGGCAAAAGGTCTAAATCAGTCGACGGCCGAGAAAATGCGCGTCCGGCAGGATGAAGACTTGGAAAGGGCAACATGGCAAGAAACTGAGAAGGAACTGCAAAAAGGGTGGATTTTTGCTGACACAAAAAGTTGCATAGAGTTGTGCGCTTTGGCCCGTAGATTTGGAATCAGACAGCTTGACAAGGTGCGCGTCATAGATGACGCCAGTATATGCGGTATCAACGCAACTGTTGGCTTGAAGTATGGTTTCCAAATGCACTCGATTGATAGGTATGCCGCTTGGATTTCCAAGGCGCTACGCATCAACGATGGCAAGTTGCCTGCGTGCAAGGGTCGCGTATACGATCTTAAAAGTGCATACAAACAGTTTGGAATCCACCCTACAGACCGGGAGCTCTTTCGATTTGCAGTGAACAAACCAGGCGAGGCGGAGCCCATGATCATGGGTGCGAACTCCTTGCCGTTCGGTGCAGTGGGCAGTGTTGCGGCTTTCCTCCGCATCTCGTTGAGCATATGGCTGATAGGCATGAGGCTGTTCAGTATTTTCTGGACAGCCTTTTTCGACGACTTCGGAGTCACGACTCGAGATGAACTTGTTGCCAACACCGACTCCTGCATATGTGCCATCTTTGATCTCCTCGGAGTTGACTTTGCTCGGGAAGGCAAGAAAGCACCACCGTTCTCTCGAGAATTTAAGCTGTTGGGAGTCAAAGTGGATTTGAATGATGCCCCTCGGGGAATTGTGAGGATCGGGAACACTGCCGAGCGCCGAGAAGAGATGAGTGTGTTCATCGAAAGCATCTTGAACGCCAATTGTCTCGACCTCAAAACTGCTGAAAGGCTCAGAGGCAGGTTGGTGTTCTTCGAGGGGTTTGTTTTCGGACGAATGTCGAACTCGTCCATCCGAACGGTGGACCGTGCAGCCAGAGCGGGGCTGACTACGAAGAGTTTGCCTGAAGATGTTAGGAAGAGTCTTGTTGTCATTCGCGAGAGGCTGAGGGTGGCTGAGCCTGTGACCATTGCTACAAAAAACCATCAGTCTTGGCTCATCTTCACAGATGGAGCCTGCGAAGGCGGGAAAAAGCTGGGATCCATTGGAGGAGTGATCGTGGGCCTTAATGGCCGTCCGATATCCTTCTTCAGTGAGCAAGTCCCGCAGGACATCATGAGGATCTTGCTGCGAGACTCGCAGAACCCTATTTTCGAGCTTGAGCTTCTGCCCGTCCTACTTGCGTATAGGCTCTGGGGCCAGTGGTGCAGATTTTCTCAAGCTGTTTTTTATGTGGACAACGAAGGTGCTCGCCATTCGATAATAGCCGCGGGCGGAGGCGCTGCACTCGCTCGTGTGATTATCGATGGCATCCTCTCAAAGGAGACATCCCTTCAAATCCACGCATGGTACGCTCGTGTACCTACGCACAGCAACGACTCCCCCAGCAGGGGTGAGTACGAGGGTCTCTTGAATATTGGATGCTCGAGGCTTCGCGTTGACTGGGATGCGGTGGCACGGCAGTATTTTCCATTGGGGTGACTCAGACTGCCAGCACCTTGCCCCAGTTGCGAAAGAAAGAGTCCGATTGCAGAGAGTCCCAATTTTTATACATTGGAAAGAGTGGATTGTTGAATTCATACTTTATGATATTCGACTTTCACATATTCCTTTTGAAGTTTTCACGGTGCTTCGGAAATAAGGTCGAACTCCTCTAACAAGGATGAAACCTTTATTTCCAAAAGCAAATTTCGTTTGAAACGAAATTAGTAAAAACTCGCCCTTTTTTTAGGCTTGTTGTGGATTTATTTTGAAAAGTAGTCGGACACTCTTTTTGAGTATGTGGACTACTTTTCAATGACAGAAAGACATTTTCCTGCATTTCTGCACGAATTCTCCTTTTTAGTGCATGACAGTTTTAGCATGAGGGTTTGCGCGATGTCTTTGTTGCCGTGCATGAAACCTCAAGCTTTGCGAGCAGGAAAATTTTTGTCCCACCCTCCCTCCCTTGGGCAAGTGCAGTCCGCATGCCAGAGGAGGAGGAGCCTATCCCTGAGCCTATGACTCAGACTGCCAGCACCTTGCCCCAGTTGCGAAAGAAAGAGTCCGATTGCAGAGAGTCCCAATTTTTATACATTGGAAAGAGTGGATTGTTGAATTCATACTTTATTAATATTCGACTTTCACATATTCCTTTTGAAGTTTTCACGGTGCTTCGGAAATAACAGCATGCACAAAAGGCAGGTGCATGAGGGGGACCGGGCCCGGACTATGCAGGCGAGGAAGGCCTGGTTCCAGTTGCTTTGCCTGCAGATGCTACAGGAGATGCTCCCTTTTCACCACCAGGTACTACCTTTCCGGAGCCCGTGGTACAGAGTGCTCCTCAGAACTTTGCACGCTCTGTCTCGGAACTCGACTCAGGCTTTTTCCTGGACATCAACGGTGGGGCCCGGCGCCCTCTTTCAGCAGCATTTCTTGGAGCTGGCTGTGATACTTTCTCGGTCGCTCCCGAAATTTTCCCTGAACGTGACCTTCTACAAGATGCGTTCTTCTTTTCCTTGCTCAGGGTTTGTCACTCTGGGCAGGTTGCCCTTTTGCACATCTTGCTCTGCGCCAGTGATTTCCCTTCGAATCTTTTCGATCGCATGATTCAGATAGCACACGCATGCTTTGCAGCGGGTTCTCACGTACTGCTTTCTCAGCACTCTCGTTCTTCAGTGTGGAGCCATGCTTCGGTGATTTTTCTTTTACAGCAGATGGGTGCAGATGCTATTTTCTGGGACCCACAACGGTTTGGTTGCAACTTCGAAGGCTTTGGGCTCCTGGCTGCGTCCTTTTCATCTTTGCAATTTTTAGCCACTGCTTCCTCGACGGGGTCTTCAATGCAGGCCCATCGGGAATTTGACTTTTCTTCCTTGAGCGCGGACTTTGTGCTCGCAGTGGCCGAGGGTTCCCTGCATCTTTTCGCTCAAAGAAGTCCGGAACCTAAAGATTTGCAGTTTGGCCAGATTCCTTTTCTGAGGCATGTCAAAGCGAGATTCGATCCACCCTTTGCCAACTAGGATGGTGCTGGGATTTACTCAGTGCCTGATTGGAGTACGCCTCCACCTGGGGTTCCGGATGTACTTTGCGATCTCAGGTCCAAACTTCGGCAGTGGATCTTCGATGAAAAGATCCCACAACGACTACAGGCCCATGCCTTGCAGCACAGCTCAGAGCCACTCTTTCAGGAAGGCGAGATTCAGCATCTCAGACAGCTTTTTCAGTCCTGGGTCTCAGAACAAGGATCGTCACATGTGATTGACTGGACGATTCCGGACCATCAACCTTACGCTTTGCATGCTTTGAAGTTCTTCTCACAGTTTGTCAAGGACAAGGATGATACCCTTTGCCAGTGCCTGCTTGATGGGGTTCCCACAGGATATGACAGTGACATCCCGCTTTCCAAGGTTTTCATACCACATCCGACAGCACCGGAACTTGATCACCAGCTTTCCATTGCCAAGGACAACTGGCAAAGTGCCAATAATGATCCAGATACTTTGCGGGAGTTGGTGCAGGCTGAGGTCCAGAAAGGATGGCTGTTTGAGATGCCTTCTTTACAGGCGGCACAGGAACGTTGGGGAGAGCGCGTTGCGGTAGGGAAAATGTCCCTTGTACTTTCTCCCCCGAGAGCTCCCAGGCTGGTGGTTGACTCCACCGTGTGTGGCACCAACGATGCATGCTCTATCCCTGAGCGCTACACTTTGCCAGGTCTACAAGATGTTCGAGATTGCTTTCCTTTGCGCCTTCATGCAGGCCTGTGTGAAGGCTTCCATCTCGACGTCAAGGCGGCGCATAAAACGGTTAGGGTCAAAGAGGCTGACCAGGGACTGCTCGGTGTCACTTTACCGGGTGGAGAGGGTAAGGATGACAGACTTTTCTTTTACCGAGTTTGTCCATTCGGAGCAAACTTCTCTGCTTTGTGGTTTCAGCGACTGGCGGGCATGCTTTTACGACTCATGCATCTCTGGATCTTTGTGCGCCATGCTCTTATGGGCTACGTCGACGATTTTCTTTTCATCCAGGACCGAGAGTGCATCCTGTACTCTGCGTCACTCTTACTTTGCTTTACATCTATATTCGGAGTGCCTTTGAGCTGGGCCAAGTTACAATTGGGAAGTTGCATTACCTGGATTGGTTGGACATTCAACTTTACCAGCGGCTCTTTTCATATTCCGCAAGAAAAAGTTGATAAGCATTTCAACTTGATCAAGGATGCTACACGGTCCAGAAGGGTTACCAGTGCTTTGCTCCACAAGTTGGTAGGACTACTACAGTGGTTCTGTCAGCTTTACAGATCTTGCAAACCCTGGCTGGCGTCCCTTTTCTCAGATCTACATCGGCATTTGGCTTCCCAGTATAGCATATCACAGGGGCTCTGGCCTTCTTTGGCTAACTACCTTGACGATGATCTTCGCTTTACATCCGTACCTCCGGGTACTCAAGTTCCGCTGGGAGGCAAATTACTGGAAGCACGACATACAGAACTGAAAACAAAGCAAGACCTTTGCAAGGTCCGTACCTCCAATCGGATCTGGATGCGGGTGACTAGACTAATCCCAAATCTGATCGGCGTTCTTTGTCACCAGCATCGCGGACCTTTCTTTCATTCTGGAGAGAATGGTGTCGAAGACCTCAGCCTTATACGGCTCTTTCTGTTCCTTTGCGACTCCAGGTTGAGGCCTTTGCGGATGCAAGAGCTGATGGAGAGCTCATTGGGATTGGCGGTTTTATTGCCTTCCCGTCTGGTGCTTACATTTGGTTTTCTCAGGCCTGGCAGCTTTCCGATTTGTCGGTTTTGAGTTTGGAACTTCGCCGACCCGCGCATAAGGACATTGCCTGCTATGAGACTTTGGCGCAGATTGCTTTGGTACATGCTTACAGGTCAGTATTTCCTTCGGGTCGAGTGGCAGTTCGCCTCCCCTCCTTTTCCGACAACGCCTCGACAGAGGCCTTGGGGGCGAAGCTTTACACTGCCAAGTGGCCATTGGGAGCGTTTGCCCAGAAACTTTCCCTCATATCTGCAGCTTCGGGTATTGAGCTGGATATTTCTCACATCGCCGGTGAGAAAAATGATGATGCAGATCTGTTGAGCAGGTGGAATCAAATTGATTCTTTACCTGACAAATGGCGGAAAGAAGACCGGGTGGACTGCTCTCTCAAGTTCATCTGGTTCTTTCGCAAGGAAGTCCTGGTGTGGCCTTCCCACTTTTCTTTGCCAACGGAGACACCGGAACGACATGTGTCAGATGATGACATATGACAGTGCCCGCAGGATCTTTGCCCGGGGCCTTTATGCTGCTGCTTTACGCCCGCAGGATGTTTGCCCGGGGTGCAGCATATGCTCCACCCGCAGGATGATTGCCCGGGGTGGCATGGTGCTGCTTTACGCCCGCAGGATTGTTGCCCGGGGTGCAGCGTTTCACTGAGCGAGCGCGTCAAACCCTCACTTTGAACGTTGGGGAACCATAGGGCGAGACTTTGACTTTGCCGGTTAAACTGTGGGTCTAAACTCTCGAAGCTTCGTTGTAGCTTTACTTTGCTTAGCTTTGGCTTGCAGCTTCAACTTACTTCTCGCGTTTCCGGCAAAGTCAAAAGGTCTCTCTGCTTAGCTTTGCTCTGTAGCTCGTAGCGTGTCTTGGGTTAGGTAAAGTTGAACGTTTCATGTGTTTACTCATGGGTGTTTTACTTTACCATGTTCCAAACACAACATTTCGGCCCAAGACACGCGTGCTTCAGCATAGCTTAAAGCTTCGCTCCATGCTTTAAAATTTTGACCCACCCGCCCTACCCTTTGTGATGTTATATCTTAGCTTTTTCATAGCTGTGTATACTTTTCGTACTTTTGTTGCTTTACTCTGGGCGAGGGGGGTCTAAACTCTCGTAGCTTCGTTGTAGCTTTTCTTTGCTTAGCTTTGGCTTGCAGCTTCAACTTACTTCTCGCGTTTCCGGCAAAGTCAAAAGGTCTCTCCGCTTAGCTTTGCTCTGTAGCTCGTAGCGTGTCTTGGGTTAGGTAAAGTTGAACTGGACCGTGCACTTGTTTGCGGGCAAAGGGGTGAAGAACGATCCTCTTCGGGATCTGCCTGGGTTCTTGGAGATTGACTTATTACAGAAGGGCTGGAACCTCAACGACGGCAAGATCTATGGAGTTTTGCTGTGGGCGGCTACACAAGGCCGTGTGAAGCAAGTCATTGGGGGACCACCTGGTGGGACGTTTGCGTCCTTCCGTTATCAGTCTGGAAGAGACGGACCGCGTCCTGTGAGGTCCAATCATGAACCTTGGGGACTTCGCGAGGGCCTTGGAGTTGAGGAGTCTACAAAGGTGAAGAATGAGAATGCGATGATCCTCAAGATGATATGGTTGTGGACCTTTGCAGAGGCAGCGCTTGATGATCCAGATGTACCAGGACATAAGGTGGGGTTTTGCATGGAGTTTCCCGAGGACCCAAAGAGTTATCTTCCGGAGGGAGATCAGAAGCAAGCAAAGCTGCGTGTCCGTTTGGAGAACAGAGTTCATGAAGGAGTTCATCAATGTCACGCGGTTTAGCCAGGTGAAGTTTGAGCAGGGTGCCCTGGGACACCAGAACAGGAGGCCCACGTGCTGCCTTACCAATTTGGAGTTGGGAATACAAGGCTTGAGGGATTCGCGAGCGTTTTTGAGCAATGATGAGGCGGACCCAGATCAGTCAGTGTGGCCGTTTGGATTCAGGATCACCTTGGCCGATGCGATCCATGAGTGGATGGTGGCTCGGAACGCCATTGTTGTGAAGAAGGCCATGACCAAGTCTGAGCTCGCCGAGTGGAAAGCGCATATCGAACGAGGCCATTGGCCTTACAGAAGGGATTGCTCGGTGTGCTTGTCGGCTTCGGGAACGGGTAGACCAGCGAGGCGGGTGGTCCACAGAGATGCGTACCTTTAGCCTGGACATCGTGGGACCTTTTGCAGATGTGGGTCGTGATGAACTTCGTGGGTGTCGGTACAAGTTCGCGCTTGCGGCAACCTACTTGTATCCCAAGGTCAGAGAGGTTCCAGAAGACAGCCCCATCCCAGATGAGGAGGAGGCAGAGAAGTTCCTCGCTGAGGAGGAGGACCAGCCAGAAGACGGTGAGCAGGGTCCAGAGGATCCTAATGCGGACGCCCAAGAAGAATGGAAGAGGAAGATTGAGGACCTCAAGAAGCCGATGGAGATGCAAGCTCTACGCTTTGTGATGCCGTTGGAACGCCATTCAGGCAAGGAGGTGCTAGAAGCGGTGCAGGACCTCCACATCCGCACCCGTGCTCTTGGCATGCCAGTGGTGCGGATACATTCAGACAGGGCGAGAGAGTTCAGGGTGAAGCCGCTGAGAAAATGGTGTCGTGAAATTGAGGCTCCACTTGTGTCCAGCATATCCAACAGTTCCTGTTGATCTTCAGCCGCAGGTTGGGGTATTGGCAGTTGACTGTAATCGGGCTCGCTCGGGGCTTCCATGGTGCACAAACTTCGCTCACTTCACTTTTTCACACCACACACACAAGCTTAAAGTCGTGACTGCATGCTATGCTAGTTGTACAAGTTTTGCACTGCATGCTTTGTCACGTGACCCAAGGGGCATGTCCGCAGCCCACCCTGAGCCCAGTGCACAAGCGGGCATAAGTCCTTCAAAGACCTTTACATGTAAGCGAAAGCTCTGCCCGCACTCAAGAGACATCAACACTGAAGGCTTTCTTGTGCATCAACACTCCTCCTCTTTTGGAGCAGTGCTGCTCCAAACGCCCTACCGATGCACCTCAGCCTTCTGGCAAGACCTGTCCATGGGTCACCTTGTAGGACAGGGGGAAGTTGCCGTCGCAGTAGTAACAGACCTGCATCTGCTTCAGCTTGGTCTTGTTAGCGTGTCGTAGACCATGACAATCTGCAACAACATGAAGTCGGTCACCGTGCTCCGACATCACAAAGCTCCTTCTGAGGCGGCGGTACTGTCCGTTCTGGGCACTTTCCAAGGCTGCTCGTAAGTCCGGATCATCGACAGGCCTTGTAGTAGCCGCCGCGCTAGACGTAGCCGGCGTGGCACTTCTCGCTGTAGCCGGCGTGGTACTTCCCGCTGTAGTCGGCGCGATACTCCCCGCTGTAGTGGTTCCCAAAGGCTCCTGTGGCATCATTCCAGGAGCTTCTTTCACCATCTTGGGCTTTCCCTCAAACATTGGATCTGAAGAGCTCGCACTCGTCATAGAAGCAAGCTCCTCCTGCAAAGCTTTCGTGGCCTGGTCCCGAATCCTCAGCAGCCGACGTGCCTTTGCGATTGTGGCCTCATCATCGCCAAAGAACTTGTGGGCTACCCATTCAAGCGTCTCCCACATTCCCAGCAACGCCACGCCCGCAATCAGCAACAACCCGTAGAACTCGAAGCTTCCATCATAATCCAACGGCTTCTTGCTGTAAATCTCTGCTGTCTCTGCTCTCGGGACCCTTGAAACCATCATCAACCACACAAACATCCGCAGTAAGTCGTAGTATTCCGGGCCTTGCAAGGACCTGATAATCACCTCACCATCGTCCTTCTCAAAGTCCTCCGCCGAACACATTCCCCACAGCCTCCTCAAATCCTGGAGCCTTGACACAGGGACTGGTTTTGTTCCCATGTCTGCCACCTGCACTTCGCCCGGCGTGTGGGTAACCACGATCCGACCTTCGTTGGTCTCCATTCGTAGGTGTCTGGCCTTCACCTTGAGGTGCCTTGTCTTCCACGATCCAGGTGCTGTAGTGGCCAAACCACACGCCGCTGTGTTGTCCACTCGCAACTCCATGGGTTCATCTGCATCCTCGCTGGACACCTCGTTGACCCACGCCTGCAGGCCAGCTGCCTGTTGGCTTGCATTCAACAGCTCTACCAGCTCTGCCTCCGCAGCCGACAAAGCTATAGTGGGCTGCTTCGTCATCCGCCAAGCCGAAAAACCACCGTAGGTAGCTGTTGTCACACAACCAAAGCTGCGATCTCCTTGAGGCGCGAAGCTCGCGTCCGAGTATGCAACCACTGGTCCACCCTGCCCATCGTAGCATAACCCCCAAGACACCGTCGAAGCCAAATACCTCATAGTCATCTTGGCTAGCTTGATTGCAGATGCTGGGTCCTTGGTGGCCGCACTACAAACATGAGCTGTCGCAAACCCCACATCTGGCCGAGTTCTCGTGAGAAGCCACAGAAGCTCACCTGCCATCTTCTGTGCTTGCCTGACCAAATTTTCATCAACTGCCCGGCTTCTGCTTCATCTTCTTCTCCCATTGGCATCACCTCCTTAGACGCCGGAATCTGGGATGGTCTCGCTGCCTCCTCGGGGTAGTTTCTAAGGAGCTCTGTGACATAGCTTCCCTGGGAAATGTGGAAACTGGTAACATCACTCTTTTCTCTTCGCCTCACATCCATTCCCAAGTAGCGGAAGTAGCGTACCGGTTCCTTTCCCAACCACTCCAAAGGCGAGCACTTCCACCCTTCATCACCTTCGGTTCCCTCTGTGATCCACTGGTACATCAGCTTGATCGTGTCCACCGGTCCCAACATCATAGCATCGTCCACATACACAATCATGAGGGCCAGTGTTTCGGACTCATTGCCCACCTCCACCAAACGCCAAACCGCGGGATCGGTCTCCATCTGTAAGAAAACACACTGCTTGTCTCCCACCTTAAGCTTGGCTCTGCTGATCCGGCGATCTCGAAAACTTCCCCGCAACCTTGGCGCCTCCCTCAGGCCATAGAGGACGCGGTCAACCAAGTAGGCTGTTTGTGCAGGTGCGCAACCCGCATCCACCGCAACCTTTGGCATCGTGATCGCGTAGCGGACCTTTGACTCCGTCATGGGGGTGAGAGTAAAGGCCGAGTTTACATCTGTAACCGCACCATGCCACCTCTTTTTAGCCCCATATGACAACGAGCACCTCACACTCTCTGCATTGGCTGAGGCCGTATACACCTCCACCTCGTTGTTGATGTAGTTTCCGCAGATCACAATCCTTGAGCGTCTCTTGAACAATCCATCACCTTCTCCAGGAGGTTTCGCTGTATGCACCGTTTTCGCTGGAACCAGGACCAACTCCCCCTTCGCCGCCTTCTCCTTTGCCTCTTGGAGAGGCATGGGCCGAAGAGTCCCCGACCCCTCCAGCGTCTGGACCTCTTTTGCAATGCTTGGGGTCCACTCTTGCAGGTGCCGCTTGACCTCCTGCAGGTCCACTGTGTGAACTGTATCCAAGGGCTTGTCTAGTGCCCGCAACATCTCCTCCACATTCTCTGAGGCATTGTGACCCACAGCCATTCTCATCAGGTTCACCCTGTTCTGTTGCCTTGCGTTGTCACTGACCGCCAAGAGCTCGTTCATGTAGTCGATGGCTTCATCAAGCTTGTAGAACATCTGCCGCTCCCTTTGGTTCGCATACTCACCACGGGCCTCCCTGGCTCGTCGAACTTGTCTTTCTTCCTCCACCAGGTCTGAAAGCCAAGTCACCCTCCGTCTCAAATGCTCCTCCTCATCGTGACCAAGGGGCATAAGCGGAGTGGAGGTCATCACCACATTTTCCTGGCTTCCTTCCGGACAGTATCTAATTGCCCAACGAAGCCTCAACTCAATTCTCCCTCCTGGCAAGACTGTGGTGTCCATCCTCTCCCCCGACAGCTCTGGGAAACTTTCTGGACGTCTTCCTGAGCTCGCCGATGAACTTGAAACTGGACCCATTGGCGCTGTCCCTGAACTCACCTCCATGCCTTCTTCGGTGGGGGGTCTTTGCAGCGTCGATTCACTGGAACCCGACACGCTGTAGTTCCCGTTGGTGGCACCATTGTAGATCCCTCACCTGAGTCCATGGGGATTGGCGGCGCAGGTGGTCTGGGCTCCGCGTGTCCAAACATCCTCAAGTGCGGCTCCCGTTCTGGAAGCTGAAAACCCAACTCCATGAGATCCTCACATTGGTGGTCATACAGTTTCTCCCACTTGCTCACCGTGTAGCCGATGATCACGATTCGGTCACCATCTTCTCCACGAAGTGGGGCATGTAACCTATCCGGGCGCACCGTAGTAGGCTTTTCCACGCTGAACAACTGACCCGGGATCTCCTTCTCCTTAAACCACGCGGCCTTATACTTTCCATAGAACTCATCTCCAGGCTTCATCTCTTGCCACACACTACTCCCCTTGGAGACCTTGAGAGGGGAAAACAGGTTCACGGTGGACTTCATGTTGAAAGCATCCTTATGCAACGGCATAGTGGCATTCTTCACAAGCGCCACTGAAGTAAAGACCCTCCCTGGGTGATCTAGCTTCAGCAAGCTCGTTGCCAATTCCGCTTCATGCGAAAACCTCTCTGTCGCAACTGTGATGCTGGTGATCCCGCCGTGCTGGTAGGCCCCAAGGTTCACATACGCCGCGTCCTCCCAAATTTCTCCATCCCTCATCTGCGGCCGCTCTATCTTTGCCTCAGGAGAACTCCAAATGGGGGACGCCAACAGTTTGTCAACCAAAGTCTTGCGGCATTTTGCATCCATTGCCCTCACCTCTGGGTCCGTGAGCTTGGTCTTCATTCTCAATCTACGGGTCGGCTCCACAAGGTCCACAACGAACTCCTCCTCGTCCTCGTCTTCGACCTCATCGTCCCGCACCGTCCTCATATGCAAAGTGCGTAGCCACAAAACCCATCATCTAGCCGAACAAAATGTCCCTCACGAACATCATCTGCTGGCCCCATGTATACACCACGCTCCCACTTCGGATCAAACGGTCCTCTGTCCTTCTTGGACTTCACCCACACCACGGCTCCGAACCTGATTTCAGGAGCCTTTTCTCCAAGCTCTCTGGCATTGTGTAGCTTGCACGCGTGCTTCATCGCACACGGCCAAAGCTCCTTATCCAGCTCCGCATCTTGAAGGTGGAGCCTTGCCTTGCTTTTCAGCCACTTCACATGGCTTTCCGCAGTGGCATTCTGGGCGGGCGCTAGACCCTCCGTGTACGTTTGATAAAGCGGAGGCAGGGCCTCAGACGGAGGCAGGGCCAGCGCAGGATCTAGTTCTCATTCGAGAAGTTCAAGTTCAATGAACGACGCCCCTCCAGGAGAAACAGGAGGAGAAGGACTTGTAAGCGACGACACAATGCTGGATGCATTTAGGAAGCGACCTGTAGAAGGAGGACAAGGAGTTGAAGGATCGCCCAAGAAATCTCGTGAAGAGCCATCTGCACCCTCGTCACCCTCAAAAGGAATCTACCCGCCGCTGTTCGCAGGCAGGGTATCTGAGGAAGAGGATCCATTCCACGGGGATGAGCATGAGGATCTTACAGCTGTAGAAGGAGAAGATGTGGAGTATGAAGATCTCGTGGAAGAAGAGATGGAAGAAGCGCCCAAGAACGACCAAGGAGAAACGCCACCAGAGTTAAGCCCGGAAGAATTGGACGCCTTGGATCAGGAAGCAGCAGTGGAAGAATTGAATCGCTTCAGTAAGCTCGGAGTGATCGAGGAATTTATGGAGGCAAACGCCACTGGGGACGAGAAGCGCATGGATTTGCGCGAGGTGTACGATTGGAGGCACGACAGAGATGGCAGATGGAAGAGAAGATGCAGGATTGTCGCGAGAGAATACCGTGCCGGAGCAAGCTCGACTGCGGAAACGTTTTCGCCGACGGCGAGTAGCGCCGCGTCGCGCTTAGTCTTGCTGTTGCACCTAGTATATCGATGGGTCGTTGTGGTACTGGACATCAAGGATGCCTACCTTCAAGTACCTCAGCAGGAGGAGGTGCTGATCACAATCAGCGACAGGATGAAACGTGCAGCAAACCTGCAAGAAGGAGTTGTCTGGAGGCTAAAAAGATGCCTACCAGGACAGAGGAATGCAGCAACAAAGTGGTATGAACACTTGCGGAGTATCTTGGGAAAGCTTGGATTCGTATTCTCGGTACATGTACCCGCGCTGGCAAAGACAGGCCACGAGGAAGCTGTGTATCTCTATCCGACTATCCAGCCATGTAGACGACGAGCTACTAGCAGGAGAAAGACAGGAAACCATTTGGTTGGTGGAAGAACTGGAAAAGGTTTTCAAGGTGGAAAAAGAAGGACCGTATCCAACGAATGGAATCGGAAGTGGAGAAGAAATGCGGTATCTCAAAAGAAAGTATGTGTTCGTCCCGGAAGGAGTTGTGGTACAACCGAATGAAAAGTATGTCCGGAAGCTCATTGAGTTGTATGACCTTGGAAGGTTGAAGAGTAAGGCCACGCCAGAGCATGTGGATCTGGTAAAGGAAGACCGGAGTAAAGAGTTGAGTGCTGAAGAGACAAAACGGTTTAGATCTCGACTTGGATCTATTTTGTACCTTGCACAGGACAGAATTGACATTCAGTATGCCTCAAAGTGTTTGGCATCAAGTATGTCGAAGCCGACGGTGCAGGCACTAAAGTGTCTGAAGCACTTCATTCTGTATTTGAGCGGAACAGCCACAAGGGCTACCCTATTACCGTATACCGAAATCGGCAGCCGGTTGATCACGAAGTTGAATGGCCAAGAGGATGACGAAATAGTCAAGGACTCAGGACATGTTGTGGAAGCATATTCGCTTCCATCATGCGTGCGTGAATGGGTTTTATTTCCCGCCGAAAGTGTAGACAAAGTTTGTCGAAAAAGGAAAACAGTGTTTTCACTTGCGTGTTGTGAACACTAGACTAACTTTGCCGTGCAGCTTTCGGCTTGAAGATAGGATCAGTGATCCTAGTTTTTTGTCTGGTAGAAGTAGCAGTGGGCTAGTAGCCCGTCGGATCCAAAGTGATCTTTCTAGTAGAATTGCTAGCTCCTTTGATCCAAAGTGATTTTTCTGGTAGAGTAGCGGTGGATAGCGGTGGGCTAGTAGCTCCTCTGTAGGGCGTGGTAGTTCCTGTAGCGCCATGGATGGTCCAGGCCGTGCCCTTAATGCAGAGTCTGCATTAAATTAGCACCTTGGCCAAAGCTGGACGGGTTATTAACCTTCTTAGCTGCGTCAGTGACGCTCGCACGGACGCGGCAGTGCCGCATGTCCCTCAGTTCCTGCGTTGTAATCCAGTGGATATACTCGCGCAGGCCATTCGTGAGGATCTCGGACTCAGGAGATAGTTATCTCCTTTTCGCGGTTAGTAACCTGCTGAGTGTCCGTGGGGGCAGAGCCCCGAGGCTTGAGGCTGCCTTGCAGGCATCTTGCTGTTTAGAAAACAGTGTCAACATTGTTGTGGCTGTTCAGTGCCGCTTATGCGGCAGCACTGCTGGAGGTTTTCCTGTGCAGCTTCTGCATGTAGCAGTGCCTCGAGCATGCAGGCAGCAGTGCTGCCGATGCCTCGCATCCTAAACCTCAGGTCGGTGCCCCGAGGCTTCAGGTTCTCATGCATGCTTTTTCTGTTTGGCACACATGCTGTCTGCAATGCTTGGTGTTGGTCAGGGTTTTGGCACGGAGCTTGCGCCACGCCCTGCAGCCTCTGCTGTTGGCGTTTTCTCCAGCGCAGCTGTGCCTGTAGCAGTGCTGCAGGCACGCAGGCAGCAGTGCTGCCTATACCTCGCATCCTAAACCCCAGGGCAGTGCCCCGAGGCTTGAGGCCCTCTTGCATGCTTCTTACTGTTTCGTAAACGTTCTGGGCAGTACCCCGAGGCTTCCGGTCCTCCGCCTGCTTCCTACTGTTTAGTAAACAGTATGTCAATGCTTGCGCAGTCCACGCCAGGCTCTGCGGCCGCTGCTGTTGATGTTTTCCCCAATGCAGCTTGTGCGTGTAGTAATGTTGCAGTCAAACAGGCCGCGTACGCTTATGCCTCGCATCATAAGCCTCAGGGCAGTGCCCCGAGGCTTAAGGTCCCCCGCCTGCTCTTTACTGTCTAGCAAACAGTCTGTCAGTGCTTCGTGTCGGTGAAGTTTTGTTGCGAGGTCGCGCTAAGCCCTGAGGCCGCTGTTGTTGCGGGGTCGGCCCCCAACGCAGCTTGTTCGCAGCGCAGTGCTGCCTGCACGCAGGGAGCAGCGCTGCTAATGCCTTGCTTCATAAGCCGACGGGCAGTGCCTTGAGTTTTAAGGCCTTCAGGCATGCTTTTTACTGTCTAGTAGGCAGCGATGCCAACGTTTCGTGCCGGTCGCGTTTTGTTGCAGAGGTGCTGTGGGCGAGCAGGCAGCAGTGCTGCCGATGCCTCACATCCTAAACCTCATGGCGGTGCCTCGAAGCACTTTGTGCGTGTAGCAGTGCTGCAGGCTCGCAGGCAGCTGTTTTGCCTATGCCTGCACCCTAAACCCCAGGGCAGTGCCCTAAGGCTTCAAGCCTTCATGCATGCTTCTTGCTGCTTAGTAAGCAATAAAATAACTTCATGCAGGCAGGAAGGGACGCGCTAGGGCAACCAGGAATTGAGAGATCTCTTCCTCGCGTTTAGCAGTGCTATGCGCGTAGCCCCTGTGACACCGTCAGTGACGGACATGCAGTTTTTGAGACGAAGTGTTGCGGGCCAGTGTCCATTTGTCGGCAGCTTATGCCTTCATAACTGGTCAGAGTCAGGGCCTGGGCAGGCTCTGGCTGTCATTTGTGCTCGGTTCCTGTGTTTACTCAGGGTTGTTTCGGACTTACTCATCCCCGCGGCCCCGCTTGGGTTCAAGCATACACCACGCAACGGCAGCTTGCTTTCAAAAACTTTTAGCTTTAGCTGTTGACTTTTCAGCTTTGCTTCATGCTTAGGCTTTTAGCTGTCAGGACTACTTTTCAGCAGCTTTAAGCTAAGCGAGTCCAGCCAGCCTCGTGCATGGACAACCTGCCGGCCGCTTCCCGCCCTCAGCTGCAGCTCCAACTGACCGAAGAGGTCAGATCACTGATCGATAGGTTCGTCGACTTGGAGGCTGAGGGGGCCGCACAACGAGCGGAAATCTCCCGCTTGCACTGCAGGGTCAGCCGGCTTGAAGCTCAGGTACACCAAGGTCACAACTGGCTTTTGCACCTAGCAGACAGGGCCACCTCATTGGAAGAGGTTACACAGAAGCTTTCTATCAGGCTGCGGGCCTTGGTCAGCTTGCTTCGCGAAACGCTTTCTGAGACTGTTGCCCGTCTTCGGATCTGGTTCTAGGTATGGCTGCTTCTGGCTCGGGCAGTGGTGATGCACCAGCTTTGCCTTCTAGCAGGGTGGCTACGGACATACTCTTGGCTGACTCATCGCCTTTATGCACGGATGCTGACGCTTTGGAACTTAGGGAATCTTTTCGCAACCACTTTGCTGACTTTGCGGACCCTGAGTACCCTAATCAAGTGCCCTCAGCTTCGGCGCCCACTTTTGAGGTTTCCGATTCAGATGCAGAGGAAGCCTTTGAACCCAGGAGCAAGCTTCGACGCCGCTGGCTTCACCAAGCTCACTGTGCCCCGGTGACTCCTCCCCTACCTATGGAAACCAACCCAGGTGCATCCAGCGGTGATCAATCTTGGCAGCTTATAGAGCAGCACCAGTCGGAGGCCGAGACGCCTTCCTTTGAGCTCACTTCAGGCTATTCGACCTTTCAGTTTTTGCCGCTGCGATCAACCCCTCCTCGACCCAGCTTGTCAGCTACATCGAGGGCACCCACTTGGCGGGCTCCAAGGGTGTGCTTAAGGTACAACTCCCCTTTTCAGGTGGGGCACACCGGGCGTCAGCCTACAGTGGCTCGGCTCCGCCCACGCTGCCCCTTTTCAGCCCCACTTCAGGCCCCCAGCATCGTACCTGTTCAGCAGTCCACACCGCAAAACTTCCCGGCGGCGAAGGCACTGCCGCACTTTCAGGACGCGTCGGCTTATGCAGCATATCCCACGCTTCAGCAGACTCCTGTTCAGGTATCAATCTCTTTGGCGACTCCGAGACCGGTCCAGTCCTCGCCGGCAGCTTTGCGAGTGCCCTTGGAACTGCACCCCCCGGCTTTGCGAGCCCCGCCAGCCGGCATGATGACGAGCAAGGAAAATCATCAGGCATGCGATGAGCGGAACAAGGCTCTGTTCGACCAGCTTTGCAAATCGCATGGGGCCTACAGCTCGGTGCTCCAGCAGCTTGAAAGTAGCCGCGAGGGTGCAGTGATCCGGTCCCGCTTGCTGAACAAGGTTAGCGACACCACAGCCGCCCGCTACCTTCGCTCTGTTCAGCTTTTCTTTTGTGCCTTTGAGGAGCTGGGCGGCAGCATGGAGGCCATAGATCAGGGCCTGTTCCTCGATGCTTTCTTCGCTTTGTCTCGAGGTTCTGATTCAGGCCCCCTTTCAAATAGCATCAACGTCCTCAAGGCGCTGCGGTGGTATAAGAAACTTCTGGCAATCGCTTGTATTCCCGACCTGTATGGCACCGCTTTCAGCTTGCTCTCCAACCCGGCCGGGCAGGAGAAACGCGAGAGTATACCTCTCCCTTTGTCGTTCGTCGCTTTTCTTGAACGCATGCTCCTGTGTGGCAAGGCAAGCTTGATGGACATGATCTGGGCAGGATCTTTCCTTGTGGCTATTGGTGCTAGCCTCCGCTTTGCAGATGCACAACACATTCGCTGGAGCACGCTTTGCGTTAGCAGCTTCACTTTGCGAGGAATCTGCTACAGGACAAAGACCACTAAAGGGGGATGCCCATGGGGCCTCCTCAGCTTTGGAGTCTTCTCGTCCTCCGAGGAATGGGGCATGACATGGCTTCCCCACTGGCTTGGGGCACTGGACACAGTATGGCGCGAGGTTCGCTCCCGCTTTGGGCCACAGCCGGAACCCGACTGTCTGTTTTTCCTTTGGAGCGATACCGGCTTTGCACCCGCATCCTACTCCCAAGCCCTGCAGAAGCTTCGCTACATGCTTACACTCTCTGGTATAGCACCGGCTCAGGCAGCGCAATATACGCTTCACAGCCTCAAGACCACCTTTCTGTCTTGGATGAGTCAGCTGTCTATACCGCTCTCTTCCCGCTTCCTGCAGGGGCACCACAAGGCTCCAGGGTCAGCTCAACTTTACTCGCGGGACGACGTGTGGCCAGCTTTGCGTGCACAGTGGCTGCTTTGGCGTTCAATACATGCCGGCTTTCGTCCAGCGAGACCACAGCACAGAGGCGGCCAGTCCCCGCTTGTTGAGCCACTTGTGGACACTGCAGGTTTCCAGTGGGCGGAGCACTGCCCGGACCTCCACTGCTTTTCAGTTGGCAACGATTGTCAGTCCTTCTTAGCCCTGGAGCAGCAGGATGGCGACCTCCGTGACGCCCGGGAACGCGTCTCTTCACTTTCCGGAGCCAAGCTTCCACCATGTGTTCGCGCCCGTGCCCAGGTCGACCACTTCGAGGACTCCGACGCGGACGAATCAGGCCCGGCTCGTGCCGCTTCCAGCGCTCCCCGCGATCCGGAGGTCGATCCCACATGGCAAGATGAGTCCGGTGAGGCACCCAGCCTTTCACCCAACCCGCAGCCGCTTGCTGCCCCGCCCGCTGAGGGTCTCCGGTCTAGCTGTACAGAGGTACGATACCTCCTGGGAGCCTCTGGGGTGGCACACTCTTGCATCTCCCACCCCGGCTCCCGTATGACGTGCTTGGCATGCAGGGATTCTTCCTGTTCAGTACGATGCCACCCCGCTTGTGGTTGCATCTCGGAATTTTCACCTTTTGTCCATTTTCCGCCCGACTCCCGCTTATGTAAGCGGCGGGCTTGTATCATGGCCTCCCTTGATGCAGCTTGAGTGCGGCCAGCTGTTAAAACTTTCGACTTGGGTGCACTGCATTTGAACTGCATCAGCTTAGAGATGCTGCTAACTTGCTGAACTGCGTGCTACAGCTTCATGTCCATCGCTTTCTTAGCTCGAGATGCGCTTTAAGCCCACTTTCTTGCCTCCTTGGGTCATGGCGAAACTTTCCCCTGAGTACGCCTTCACACTCCTCAAGACCATGACTGACGAGGAGAAAACCCGCTTCCTCAAGCAGCTGGAGAACGATCCGCTTCTCCCCGCATCCACTACGAGCTCATCTTCGGTGGAGGCACCCGCTGTGCAACCAGTCGCAGCACTTATGGCAGACCCCATAGGGGAAAACATCGCCGCCGAGGATTACAGCTTACCTTCAGTGGAGCCAGCTGCTTCACCGTCACCTCCGGCCAAAGCGGCACCCGCTTCTGTTACAGCGGACAAGCCCGAGGCCACCAACGACGACGGTGCACCCGCTTCCAGGACCCCTGCAGATGGCGACGGGGGCAACACCGCCACTGGTGGCGGAGGCGATGGTGTTGCCAACGCAAAACGTTGGCAACGGGAACCCGAGGTGAAAGAACCGCCGCCACGGCCGCCCTCTTCACCAAAGGCGAATCCTTCAACACCGGCTCCGACTGGCCCTCCGCTTAAGGCCAAGAGTGTGGCATCACCTCCGAAGCCCGCTTCGGCTTCAGGTGCACCGGCCGCACCGACTCCCAGCGCCCCTCCTGCGGCCAAGGAGAAAGCTCCTCCACCTCCGCTTGCAGAAACTGGGGCCACCGACGGCAATGCGGGCACTGCAAGAGAGGCAACGCCCGCTTCTACTACGCCAACGCCCGGGGCACACCATCTACGACGGTGAGGGGAACCCCACACTCCAACTAGTCCAGCTTTGGGCATGCCGTAAGCAGTGCTCCCAATGCTCGCTTGGTCACTGCCAGGCTACCTTCAGCGACCGCTCCAACAGCTACCACACCACCCACTTATGCAGAGACTGTAAGCGGGCTCGTGGTAGAGAGCGTCAAGAAGCCGCTTCTCAATGGAGCCAGGGCTATGAAGAGTGGGGCCAGAACCAGTCCGGCTGGGACGATCAACCCGCTTGGGGATCCTGGAATTGGAGTGGCCGCAACAGGCAGCACCAATGATGCTTTTGCCCCCGCCCCATGCTTATGCCGGCTTTGGCATTGAATCGCCCACTTTTGGGCTTGCCCATATAGATCAAGGGCAGCCCCGCTTGGGCTTGTGGGTACAAAGCGCCCGGCTTCTCCTAAGCCAGACATACTCGAGCTCCGCTTCCCGCTTGAAAAATCCAGCAGAGCCACACTGCGCACGCTTTGGAACAGTTCACGCTTTGAACTTGTGGCTTGTTTTTCACTCTTGTTTCCCGCTTGGATCAAGAAAGACTTCCGGGCCTCCCAGGGCTCTGGGTATCCCGCGCTCCCACGTTACAGGCCACAGATGCCCACTTGTCGTCATTAGCAACGTGCTTCCCTGCTGCAGGACCACTTCGGGCAACGCTTCATCCTCAGTTTCAGTTCTTCGCCTCCTTTCGGTAGTATGTGCACCTGCTTCAGGTCAAGCGAAGATGTCTGACTTCACGCAACTAGTGGCCGACTGCAATGTGCCAGCAGCTGTCGCCCCCTTGCTCTCAGCATTCGACGTTGCTTTGTTTGCCCGGTCCTGCACCACTTCGGCAGAGCTTGAAGAGTTGGTGAACCACTTTCTGGCTGAAGCCTCAGTTACTGATGCAGCTGAGCGCTTTATCACCAAAGCTTCGCTTCGCTTGCTTTTTTGCAAATGCCGGACGTCAGAGGGCATGGCATCCTTGGAAGCCGCTCCCACTCCCACCACCCCGCTTGGTGATGGCCACGCCTCCACTTTCCAGCTCTTGGCAAGAGGCTTGGCCTGCGAAGCTGAGTGGGGAGCGAACCGCGGCGCTTAGGAAGAGGTTCGAGGAGGACTACCCCACTGAACTTCTTGACGCCGAGAGCTTTCCAAGCGCCCGCTTATTGGCCCTCACCAATAAGATGCTTTCCGACAAGGAGGTGCGATGGATTCCTTGGAAGTACCGCTTAAGCGCTCGTGCTCAAGAAGACAGTCTCCTCGTTCGGCCCAGGAAACAGGCCCGCTTTGACCTAACAGAGCTTTTTCTGGACGAGGCGCCTACACGTGACATACATGAAGGCCCCGCTTCCTTTGGCCTCGTCACTCAGCTTCTGTCACTGGCTGCCAATGCCATTGCGCTCTGTCAAGGTGCACACCTTGGGTCTCTGAAGCTTTATAATAAACGCTTCATGAGGATCTGCTTCACGAAGTACGATGCCGCCGCCAGCTTACGAGGTCCCACTACCATGGAAGCCCAGGCCGCCGACCGCCGCTGTTGGGAAATCATCGCCGACTTAGTCAATGTGCACCACTGGAAGCTGGACGATGCGCTTCACGAAGTGGCCGAGGTGCGCTCTGACATGCACAGCCTGCTTGCACCGAGGCCCTTTATTCCCAAACCGAAGTTCGACCCGGACAACAGCTGGAAGGCCCGCTTCACAGGCAACGGTCGAGGCGGCAAAGGCGGTGGCCGCGGCGGCAAAGGCCGTGACGGCAAAGGCGAGAAGGGAGAGCGCTTTGAGAGAGGGGGCAAAGGTGGCAAGGGCAAGGACAACAAGCAAGCCACGCCACCCGGCAAGTGGCTTTCCACCCTCTTCATGGATGGCAAACGTCAGACGCTTTGCATGAGGTACCAGAGCGGGCAGTGCAAGGACCCGGCCACATGCCGCTACTTGCACAGATGCGCAGTGCCTAAGAGTGACGGCACCGCTTGCGGAGGCAATCACCCGGCTTCGCAACATGTTGCCACCCCGCATTAGGAAACCCGCTTCAGCGAGCTGCGGGACATCGCTGAGGAGGTCACGACCGTCCCGCTTAGTGTGCCGGCACAACCGTCAGGCTCAGCAGGGGCCACTTCGTCACTGCCAAAGGCACGTGCCCTTGTCTCCGATGCAGCATCGGCACTCAGTGAAGGCTCTCTCGACTTCGCTACTTGCTTGGAGCTTCTAGCGCAGTACTTTTCCATCCCCTTCGCTTCTTCTTCTCAATGCCCCGACAATGCCATTGCAGCCTCTGAAGCATATTTCAATTTGGGGGCTTTCGCTTTTGACAATGGCTCCAGATCGGGCATCTTTCAGCGTACCGAGCAGTTTTCAGACGTTCTCCGATTCTTGAACGCTTTTATGCAGCTTCAGTTCCCTGAAGCCTCCTGGAGCTCCCTCTGCGTCAGCCACAACGTTCGCACCCGCTTACACACAGATTCTGGCAACGCTGCAGGGTCTCTGAATCACACAGTTTCACTTGGCAACTTCAGCGGTGGCGAGGTTTGGCTTTGCCCCGCTTTGAACCAGGCGGCTTGTCAGGTACCCGCCCCCTCGGATGCCTCGTCCGAGGCTCACAGTGCATCTGAAGTGGGTACAGGCGAGGTGCGCGACACTTGGCACGCGCCGCTCTCCTTTAGCTGTGAAGCACTTCACTGTACGCTTCCAATACAAGGAGACCGGTGGGTATTGACTGCCTACACTTGCAAGAGCCTAGACCGCTTTGATGCAACGTCACTGGCACACCTGAGGTCTCTGGGCTTCCCGCTCCCGCCGGCAACCCCATGCCACCCGCAGTCAATACATCCCCCGCTCAAGGACACAACATGCGTGGAGCTCTTCCTGGATATATGCTGCGGGGCCGCTCACCCACTTACCACGGCGATGTCTTCATACGGAATCACTTGTCTGCCCATAGATCTACTGGGCGAGGAGCAACTCGACCTGCTCAACGACGACACCTACGACCACTTGCTTCGGCTGTGCTTTGCTGGGATTGTCCGCTTAGCTCACGGATCGCCACCCTGCAAGGAGTACTCCCGCTTGAAGCTTCGTCCAGGTGGGCCTCCGGCCATTCGATCGCCGGATCACATGAATGGTCTGCCAGGGAACACCGCTTCGCAGCAAGCTAGAGTACAAAGCAGCCAGAAGCTTCTATATCGTTGCGTATGCCTCCTGAGAGCAGCTTTTTGTTCAGGCGCGCATGTATCCCTGGAACAACCCACTAGCGCCATGTCCTGGCTTGAGCCTTTTGTTCAGGACATGCTTTCCGAAATACAGGCCTCACTGGTCAATATCCCGGCATGTTCAGTGGGACAGGATATAGCAAAATCGTGGCTTTTTGCTTGCAGTTACAGCGAATTCCGCTTTCTGGCAAGCACATGTTCGCATGCAGGAGGCCACCAGTCCGTCGCAGGAACCAGGGACGAACACGGGACCTTTTTGTCCCAGCGGACGGCGGAGTACCCGTCCCAGCTTGCCGAGAAATTCTCAGCGAAGGCAGTGCACTTATTTTCTTCGGCAAGACCTGCTTATTCGGTTTCGCCCTGCTCCTTGAAGTTCGCACTGGCCTCAGTTCCCAAAAAGCCGCGTTCATCAACGCCTACAGCAGCGCAGGATGGCGGGGGCATCTACTCTTTGCCCGACTGGTCCCTTGGCCCAAGGTACCAGTCCGACAGCTTACACGACCTGCGGAAGGAATGGCAATCTTGGCTGCTTCAGAACAGAATTCCTCTCAGACTCCAGCAACACGTTGCCGAAGCCAGCAATAAACCGCTTTTCTCAACGGAAGAAACAGAGTGGCTTCGCTCTTCTTTCAAGCGCTTTTCGGACGCTCACTCCCCGTGCCAGGACTGGAACTTCTCAGTGACAGAAGGCCAGCCATACTGCTTGTCTGCACTGGAGCGCTTGAGTACTATGCTGGGTGACAAGGACACTTCCCTTTTCCCCGCTTTGCAGAAGGGCGTGCCTACGGGATTCGACGGCGACATCCCTCGCAGCCACACACTCCGACCTCGTGATCCCAACAACTCAGACGAACCCACTGACCTGCTTGTTTGCGAAGGTAACTGGCAGGGGGCTGAGGCAGACCCGGCACTGCTTCAGGAGTTGATTGAGGAGGAGGTCTCGGCCGGCTACATAGAAGAAGTTCCCAGCTTAGAGGCGGCTTACGAAAGGTGGGGCAAGGAACGTGTTGCGGTGGGCCGTGTTAACATTGTCAAAGCCCCCGGACGCTCAGCCCGCTTGGTTATAGACAACAGCATCGACAGCATCTGCAACACGAACCAGAACTGCCACGTGCCTGAACAGTTCTCCTTGCCCAGCCTCCAGGACATTCAGTCCGCTTACCCTCCAAGGGAGGACGAGGAGCCGGTTTCGGGTTTCAGCTTAGATGTGAAGGGAGCGCACAAAACTTCACTTGTGCGCGAGAAAGACAGAGGCCTGCTTGGACTAAGACAACAAGAACGCCTCTTTTTCTACCGTGTCTGTCCCTTCGGGGCCACTTTTTCTAGCCACTGGTTTGCCCGCTTGGGGGGCTTTTTCGTGCGCTGCCTTCACCTACTTATCTGGTTATCACACGTTCTCATGCTGTACGTCGATGATTTGCTTCTCTGGCAAAATTCTCGTGCACTGCCGCTTAGCGCTTCTCTGGTCTTGGCATTCTGCGCCTGCTTCAACATACCGCTTAGTTGGCGGAAACTGCAGATGGGGCCGTCTATAACCTGGATAGGGTGGCAGATCGACTTCAAGGCTGGCTGTTACACTTTACCAGAGCTCAAACGCTTGAAGCTACTTGTCCAGGTGGAGGAATGCCTTCGGCATCGACTTGTCAGCCGCAAACAGCTTGACAAACTGCTAGGTCTGCTTCAGTGGATTCTGCATGGTCTTCCTGCTTTACGCCCCTGGCTATGCACTCTGTATGATGACATGCATAGACCACTTGGCGCCAATGTCAGCATCAGCCCAGTTGTTTGGCCAGGCATCCACTCTTACCTGGACGACAAGCTTCGCTTCACAGGTTGCCCCCCGGGCACGGGCATTTCACCTGGCTCAACGCTGCTTTCAGCTCGGCATAAGCCTCTTAAAAGTAAAGAAGACCTGGCTCTAGTCCCCGTAAGCACCAAGCGCATGTGGCTCCGAGTTACGGACCCCACTTCCTCCAAGGGAGGTTGGCTACTCCTCCCCAGCGGACGCCTGCTTTGGTTTGCTCACCGCTACACAGTCAAAGACTTCCTGGACTTAGGTCTACCCATGCAAGCAGATGCCAACCTAGACATCTC